CACCTGCTCTCCCTCTCTCTGTCTTTTCTCTCTTTCCCTTCCCCCGATTTTCCTCAACTGAGTAGCTCCAAATAAAGGCATGATTTGGGAAGGAATTTCGACTTCGTGGTAGTCCATTCCTGCTGGTCGGGAAGCGCGCCACACATCATGGCTCACAATCTACTTCCCATTGGTGTTCCTGATTGCTAGACTTGCCCAGAGTCCCTCAATAGCTAGTATTACTCAGATGAGATGCAAGATTGTAGCAGCTTCCCTACAGGACTAAGCCAGCACAGCCCTTCCCAGCTTGGCCATTCCACCCTAGGGGAAGACAGGGCCCTAGGCTGGTAAATTTGTATTTTAGTAGAAAGTCTTCCAGTCTCTCAGAATACTTCCTGTTCTTCTTCCCAGATACAGGGTCCCTTGTTCATGTATTCCATTACAGATTCACTGACCAGTGCAACCAACCAGTTCACTCAGAGCTAAGAAGTTCTGAAGCCAAACAAAGGTCACATTAAAACAATAACTCTTGTTAAGTCAAAATGAGGCCATGAATTAGAAAACAATGAAGTGTTTATGGAAGGGCTTAGAGGCAAGAAAGAGATGATGAGATGATGGAAATGATGTAACTATAATTCACAAAATTATTCTAGAAAAATTATTGATAAAAAGGCTTTATGATCACGTGCTATAGAGACGGGATTTGTATTAGAGACAACAAAATATTAGTCACACATTTTATCTCAGGCTGTGCATCTTAAATATGTAAAATAACAGTTCTTTTAGGCAGGGCCACACCATTTTATTCAGTTCTATTTTGGTCAAACTAGTGTAACTATTGTAAATTGGTTTCATGATAAGTTATGTTCTTTATCCAGATTCTTGATTCCTTGCTCTCTGGATTCAAGAAATGGCCAGTCAGAACATTTAATAATCATCTAAAATGGATTGCCTCACTACTTATTTCTAATGTAAGCTATGGTCTAAGGGGAGAAATTTGCATGCTCCTTCTTCATCATCCCTTTCTGTGCTGGGACTACACCTGCTTTATAGTTTGTCAACTGGAGGACACTCATTTACTCATCTATTTTCCTTCTCACTGAACAGTTAAGGCCCAGTGTTAAAGCAGTTGCAGGAATTGCTTTCTGGGCAGCAGAAGCAGGATTAGGTGTTCAAACCAATTTTAAATTCTATAGTGTGAGATAAGCCTAAGCTACCAAAGACTGAAATGATCAACAGCATTTGAGAAAAATGGAAAGAAATTCTTAATGACTGGAAACAATAGGGAATAGAAACAGATTAGAGCAGTGATGCATATAAAGTAAATAAAATTTAAAAAGTAAAAACAGGAATTCTTTTTTAAAAAAACATAAAAATAATTTTTAAAAACACACAGTTATACTGACTTTGAAAAAGATAAAAACATTCCCTACTAGAAAGACTGACATTAAAAAGGTATTACATCACCATGCCCCTATGTGCAAGGTCAGCTGCTGAGACCTGTGACCTGAAACACACAGCTACAGCTAATGGATATAATGATAGGCAGGATTGAACATATAAGCATAGGAGAGTTCCCTTGTTAGAAATTCAATATTTATTGATTCGAGCTAACCTTACCGAATTGTACACCCAAAATCTATCCTGCCTTCATTCACATGACATAGATTAACACGTGCTGGGAAATTACAAAATCACTGATCCTCTCACATTTAGATGCTATTTCATAATGGTGACACCAGCAGCTATTTGCTTACTGACAGTGTATGCAGTAAACTATTCCTCTTCTTTGGTCTGAAGGTGGAAGCCATGCTCCACATACAAATCCTTTTCCTATTAATAAAATGGACAGTTGACTACATGACTCGAAGTTTTAATTTTAGAGCTCAGTGGTGGTTGAGTTCTTTAATCTAATAATTTAGTTTAATCACAAGGGAAACAAGATCATTGCTCTGGGGAGCAATGGTTTGAGATCAAGGCTACCTTATCCAACATACAAAAGTTTGTCTCAAAAACATTTTTCTACAATGCTGGAGGTACTGCTATTGTAGAATTAATATGCCTTCCCAGGAATAAATCATTCACACACTTAAAGTTTAATAGACATGAATTCCTTTAACAACAGTATGCATTCAATGGTGGTTAATGCTAAAAGAGGAGACAACCTGGCCCAGATTGACATTCTGCATACACTGCCATCCTTAAGTCTTTTTTTTTTTTAGGGTCAGGCCTGAGGTTATACATTGAACAGTTTAAATAGGGACAGGAGGATGCAAGTCTATCTACTTAGTCAGATGGAGATTTACAGATCAAAACTATCTTTTAGCTTATACATTAGAATTGAAATAAAAAATATATCAGTACCTTATTGGAAATAAACTCATTCTTGTGGCTATAGTTAAATAGTCATCCATCTTTAAAAGACTTTTATTGTCAGTTCTCTCCTGATCATTCACTGTACTTTTCCCTCATTTTGTGGAGATTTTGGCTTGGAAAATTCTTTAAGCCCCAAGTCTAAGTTAGTTTCTGATGCTATCAATCTTCTGAGTCATCAAGGTTGAGGTAAAGATGAACTTGGAACAACCAATCACACCTTACTGCTATTAATGACATTTTCATGGGGCTATGATAAAAAAAATAAATAAATGAAATATTTTTTCTTGAAGCTAAAGACAACTATGATGTCTAAAGTCTTTACAAAATCATTTTCAGATTTAGAGTTTTCATCTGTGTGAGTTTATCCCTAGTTCCTGACTTTGAATTGAAACACATGGGCTTTAAAATATTTAGAGCACTAGAAACATGGCTGGACAGTTAAGAAATGTACAATCCCAGGACCAAGGTCTAATTTTTCACAAATTCCTGTAACTTCAGCTAAAAAATCCTAGGGTCTAACATTATCAGAAACCAGTATGCACATTCACATACCCACAGAAAAACACACTGATATCACATAATCACAATTAAAACAACTCTTTAAACATATTTTCACTCATGAATGTTTTTCTCTTGTAAGAATTCATTCCTATAATACAGCTGTTAAGGTACCCGATGGCTTACAGAGCTTTTCTTCACCAAGAAGCAACCAGGTAGGCTTGAAGTCTGAGAAATCAACCCTTCTAAGTTGATGGAATAAATCATTTGGGAGGACTTAAGAAATGAGTCCGGTTTCAGGGTCAGGTGTTTCTCTCATTGACTCTGGATTCAGGAACAAAGTGTGTTTCTTTGTCTCGGTTTTCGAGTCAGAATGTATTTCTTTGGCGCCAATTCCACAGTCAAAATCATGCATTTCACTGACTCTGGTTTCAGGGTCCGGATGTGTTTTTTTTGACTGGCCCATTTACCCTACACATAGAGCTTTATAAATTCACAAATTCATTTTACCATGAGTTTCTAAGTACAAACATTATAAAAAGGACATAATAATGCTTGAAAAGATTGTTAACACTGTCAAATTTATTTCTACAGAAGAAATAGTCTTGTGTTGTAGGCAGAGGATTCTTGTTCATTCCTAGCTACCCAGACAAGAAATAATCACAAAGAAACTATATTAATTAATTAAAACACTGCTTGGCCTAGAATTAGCTCAGAATTCTCATTAGCTAACTCTGACATCTTAAATAAATCCATTCTGATTATTTTGTATTTTCCACAAAATTTGTGATTTACCAGTAAGGGTATATGTCTCCATCAGCAGATACATGGAGTCTGACTCCACTTTCTTTTCTCTACTATCTCTGCTTGGA